GATGGGGCTGGCACCTCCTTCCCCTCTGTGCCCCACAAGCTGTGGGACCTAGGCAAGTGGGTGCATCTCTCTGTGTCTTTGTTTTCTCCTCTGTGAAATGGGGGTGAAGCGATTAGGTGGGGAGGGGAAGGGTTGAGTGCTACCCGAGCTTGAGCCGGCCCAGGAGTCTGCAGGGCCCAGGGACAGGCATCCCCGCTCCAAGGTTTCTCCCCAGCCGCACCCCCTGCGCCCCGACCCGGGACTCAGCGCACCACACTGGAAGGTGGATAGTTTCTAGGCTCCCCGCCCACCCCGGCAGCCCTTTTCTGAGGCCTGTCCTGAGCCTCGTCAGCCCTGCTTGGTGCCTCCTGTCCAAGGTCCAGGTCCAGTGATCAGCAGCCCCTCTGCTGCCCGCACACCTGGCTGTGCCGGTCAACAGGGCCCGACAGGGGACTTGGGCAGTCTGGTTAGAGAAGGCAGGACAGATAAGACCCGCTGACGCCCCTGACCCCCCACAGCGGACCTTCATGAAGACACAGGTTCAGTTCTTTCTGCTCTGTGGGAGGCAGTGCTCAGATGGGGCCATGGGGCCATGATGTGCCTGTTTTAGAGCAGAAGCTCCTCCGAGGTGTGGCTAGTCCAGGTCGCACAGCAGACCTGGGACTCAACCCGTGTGATATACTTGATGCCCCAAAAGGGGACTACAAGGCAGGTCCTGTGCAAATCAGGACACGGTAGCTGGGTCCCACTTGGGTTAAGGGCTAGGGTGAGGCAGGCATATGGCCTCTCAAGCCTGGCTTCCTGAAACTTAAGGCATCAAGGCTGGAGGTTCTGGCTGGTCCCAAACGGCTCCCTCATCAACACTGTGCCCCTGTGGGTGGCTTGGACCAGCTGCATGTGTTATGAGGGGACATTTCTGTAAACCATCATTATCATTACGTCTCTTATTCTGGCCCACATCTAGGTGAAGGAACTGAGGTGCAGAGAAGTTAAGTAACTAGCCCAAAATCATTCAGCAAAGAAAACCTAGAATGGCTACCCAGGGCCAAAGCTTTATTTACTATTACTATTTGTTTCCCTTTTTTTGGTTGTTTCTTTGAGGCAGGGTCTCACTATGAAGTTCATGTAGCCTTCAATCACTATGTAGCCCAGGGCAAGCCTTGAACTCACAGTGATCCTCCTGGCTTAGCATCCTTAGTGCCAGGATTACAGGCCTCTAACACCAAGCATGGCTCTGTTTCTTTCTGGCCAGACAGTTGGGGGTCTCGCAAAACCCAGGTTTCTGGTTGATTCTAAAAAACTCAACGAGAAGCCATTTCTCGGGTCTCCAAATAACACTGGCAGGGCAGCTAGGCCAAGTAAGAAACAAGAAAAGCCCGAGATACAGCTGGCACTCAGCCTTCCCCGAAGCCTTTCTGGTCAGATCACGCGGCAGTGCACTGTCAGCATCAAACTCCTCAAACTTCCTCCTGCTTCTCTGCTGTAGGACGGGGGTCATATCTGTCTCTGACTGCACCCAACACCAGACCCAGAGTCCAGACATCAGCTGACCCTTGTCACAGGTTCACTGTGCAACCCAAGGAGCAAGCTGTTTGCCTTTCCTGAACACTGCGTCCTTTGCTAAACAATGCAGTCCTGGTAACTTCCTTGAAGGGTGGCTGTGGAGGAACCATAGGACACAGCAGTTGGGGTTATGTGGGTTTTCACTAGCAGAGCTGGGTTCTAGTTCCAGTTGCCACTTATTAGTTATGGCCACGTTTCCTTTGGTAATTATTCCCCTAAGTGCTGGCCATCTGTTGTATGTGCGGCACATACACCGCATGGGGGAGGAGAGGGCAAAATTCTTGCTTAGCACACACTTATAGTCCCAGCACTCTAGGAGGCTGAGGCAAGAAGACTGCAAGTTCAGATCCACCTGGGCAACACACTGACTGAGACTCTGTCTCAAAATCAAACATAAGGCTGGGGATTTAGCTCAGTGGTGCTGCTGCCTGCCTGGCAAGCACAAGGTCCTGAGTTCGATCGCCAGTACCAAAAAAATAAAATAAAATAAAACATAAGGGGGCCAGGGATTTAGCTCAGTGTTTCCACCACCTGTGTCACAAGCACAAGGGACCGAGTTCAATCCCTGGTACTTCCCCCACAAAAGAACTGGGAATGTAGCTCAGTGCAAAGGTCCTGAGTTCAATCTCCAGCAGAAAATTCCTGCTCTTGGGGAGTTCACATTCTAATAAGGAAAAGAGGAAACATGTGTACAGGTAGAATGTGATGCCAGGGAGCAACAGGGTTATAACAAGCAGGACAATGGCTTGAACGGTGGCTGGTGCTGTGTAAAACAGGACACCCGAGCAAGTGACTTTTGGACAGAAACCCAGGGAAGCGAGGAAGTTCTCTTGTCTGTGCTGTCCAGGAGAGGATACCAAGAGTCCTGAGGTGGGAGCAGGCCAGGGAGCTGCAAGAGGAGCAGAGATGGGAAGAGCTGGGTGTGGCAGTGCCTGTAACTGCAGCACTCAGAGGCTGAGGTGGAGGACAGTGAGCTCCAGACCAGCCAGACCCTGTCTCAAAAAAAAAAAAAAAAAACACACCAGCCACGACCTGTCAAAAAAAAAAAAAAAAAAAGAGACTGGGCACGTAGCTCAATTTGAAAGCCTTGGGTTCAATCTCCAGTACTGTAAAATTAATTAATTAATTATAAAAAAGATGTAGGAAAAGGAAGAGTTCGGGGGTGAAAGGAGCAATTTCCATGACTCTGGAGGCCATCGTGGGGATTATGGGAACCTCAGTTTTTTTGTCTGTTTTTCGTGAAAAGGTTTTGGGATAAAGACTCACAATCCTCCCACCAGCCATAGGTGTGCATCTCCAAGCCTAACTGAGACTTTAGCTTCTATTCCAAGTATGATGGGCCGGGGACTTAGCTCAGTGGTGCCGCCACTTTCTTTGAAAGCCCAAGGACCAGAGGAGTTTGATCCCTGGTACCAAAAAGCCATCTAAGTGTGATGGGAAGTTGCTGACCTCCTCCACACACACACACCTGTGCTGGGGACTGAATTTAGCACCTTGCACATGCTAAGTAAGCTCCACTGAACCCCTAACTGAGGAGAACTGTAAGTTCCAGTTCCACCTCAGCCCACTGGAGGTTTGTGAGGTGATAAACATAATTTTTTTCCTTCCTTATTTTTTTTTTTACAGCTTTACAGAGCCATAATGGACACACAACTGTACACATTAAAATAGACAAGGTGATGAGTTTTGACAAAAGAATACACCCATGAGAAAAAACAGAAGAATATGCCCATGAGGGTTGGGCTGTCACTCAGTGGTAGAGTGTTTGCATAGGAAAGTTTGATCCTCTGGGTTTGAATCTCAGCACAGCAAACAACGACAACAAAATACAACCAAGAACCAGGTACAGTGGCGCAGGCCTGTAATCCTAGCACTCGGGAAGCTGAGGCAGGATCTCTGTGAATTCAGGGCCACCCTGGGATACATAAGTGAGTTCAAGGTCAGCCTGGGATACATAACAAAACCCTGTCTCAAAAAACAACTCAAGACACAACCAATAAACCATTGCTACAAGTGAGGTAATTAAATTAATTCTAAATTAATTCTATATCTACTATGAGAAACTTTGGGATAAATGTAGCAAAAGATATACAAGATGTCAGTACTCTGGGAAGTAGCAGGCTCAGCCTGGGCAACTCAGTGAGACTCTGTGTCAAAGTAATATATAAAAATGGGTTGGGCTGGGGATTTAACTCAGTGGTTCCACTGTCTGCCTTTCAAGAGCAAGCACCAGAGTTCGATCCCCTGGTACCTGCCCCCCCGCAATCTGAGCACAGTCTGGGCAACTTACTGGTTTAATGAGACCCTGTTTCAAATTAAAAAATAAAAAAGGACTGGGGTAATTGGATAACTACAGGCAGGCAGTCAATCAACCAATTAATCATCCTTAAATCTTACCTTTCTCCTTAACTAAAAAAAAAATTTTAACTCAATTCCAATGATGAATGTCATTATATCGTATACCTTAAAGGTACCAATAAAATTAATTTAAAAAATAGATAATAAATTTTTTTCGGGGGGGTGCAAGAAGTCGAAGACAGAGCCTCACCTATGCTTGAGTGTATGCACAACTACAGCCCATAACAAATGTTAAGACTGAAAAGTATTAAATTAATATAGCAACAAATCTTTTTTTTTTGGTACCGCGATTTGAACTTGGGGCCTTGAGCTTGTGAGGCAGGTAGCGGAACCACTGAGCTAAATCCCCAGCCCACTTTAATGTATTTTAATTAAGTATCTTTTTCCTTTTTTTGGTACTGGGGATTGAACATTAAGCAAGCAGTGGAGAGCAGATAGGGTTCGCGGGCGCCCGCAGGGCCCTTACGTAGGGGCTTAGGTGCACACCACTGCTTGGGCCTAACCTACTTCTTAAAGGTGTAAGGCCAAACGGCCAGGGACTTGGCTCAGTTGTCTACAAAACAAACAAACAAAAAAAGTGTAAGGACAAAAATTAACACATTCAGCACAGGTGCTTAACCCTAGGTAAGTATTTTTGTTTTTGTTTTTGATACCGGGGATTGAATTCGGGTCCTTGCTCTTGCAAGGCAGGACACCGAACCACTGAGCTAAATCCCCGGCCCAACCCTAGGTGGGTATTATGTTGCCACTTACTGAATCCATGGGCTCAAAAGTGCATATGGCAGTGTCTATAAGGCCAGTCCCCGGGCTCGACTCGGATACGCGTCCCTTACTACCGAGCTAACGGTAACATCCATCCCTTATGTGTAAAGGAGCATAATCACGATTCCCGTACCCAGGATTATTCTGAACTCTAGGTAAGTAACAGCGCAGTGTACAGATGTGGCGCTTACTCGTTATTTACGTTATTAGCGGACAAGACACGCCTCGAACCTCGAACATACACCGCATTCAAGCCCTCGATGCTTCCCCAGAAGCTCTCCGCCTACACCAGGGACTCAGCTGCATCCGAGCCCCGGAGCGCTTAGGGCTCGGCCCTTTCCCAGTGCAGAGGGCTAACTCAAAGTCGCCCCGAGAAGGATCCGAGGACAGGGCTGGTCGCTCAAGGCCCTGGACTGGAGGTCAGTGTTCAAGGGTACAGAAAAAGAGCCGCAGGTTCTTCCAGCCAAGCGGAAACCACTTACGTTGTTAGAACCCAGTTGCGTAGCCAACAGGCCAAGCAGGCGCGTGAAACGGGGGCGGGGCCAAAGCGCACAGTTTCCAGAGCGGCTTCCGGCAGAGGGCGCAGGCGCAGTCGAGGGGGGAGTGGGCCTATATAAGAGCCCTGCGGACGCCTTCGAATTCTTTCTGCGCGTCGCTGCGTACCTGGCCTTTGTGGAGCTGTAACCCTCGTACCCATCCCCCCGACCCGTAGCTCACCACCACCGGCCTGCAGTCGCCAGCTGTACGTCCCAAGGCTGAGAGATGCGTGGCGCGAACCCGGGCCTAAGCGTCTGTGCGGCCGTACTCGCCACGAGGGACCTGCGCAATACCGCGCCCTCGCACCTAGACGCGCACGGCCCATCGGGTGAGTGGCGCGGGAGGGCGAGCGGGTGCATGAAAGGGTGTCCGGACTCAACCCGGCTTCTCAGAGACGCGGACATGTGCAGGGCCTAAGGATAACCTGATTCGAGGAGCATTTGAATCGGCCTGTGACAGTTTAGTTGGGTGATTTGGGGCAACTAAGAATTTTTCTAGAGGTCCTTTTGGTGGAAATAAGGACAAGCGCTTCAGGAGGACAGACAAAATTTTGAGTCATTCATACCCCTCTTTTTTCCTGTACCGGGGATCGAACCCAGGACGTCCTTGCGAGGCAGGCGGCGGCAACACTGAGCTAAATCACGGCCCTCATTCATCTCTTCAAGTGCGTTGCTGGGTATGAATCCCAGGACCTGGAGCACACTAGGCAACGGTTCTACCATAGAGCCAGACTTCAGCCCTGAATTTCTTGACTTTAAAATGGTACTCTGCGGTGCTGCATTCCTGTAGCCTCAGTTCTTAAGGCTAAGGCAGGAGGGTCACTGCATATTCAAAGCTAGATGTGTCAGGAAAAGGGGCGGGTAGAATAAACATGGCACAGAGCTTGCTTAGCATGCTGGATGCCCTGGGATAAAGCCCCACTACTGCCCCCCCCCAAAAAAAATTGAAGGTGACATACAATCCAAACCAGGGTGAATGCAGATTATGGGGATCCTTGGGCGCCTTGGATAGCTCTTGACACTGTTTTGGTGTCTCCAGTAGGTAATTACATAGGATTTAGGTGAGTAAGTGGCGCAGCAGCAGTTTGGGTTTGAGGTCTTATGCCCTCCATTTGGTGGCCCTTATCGAAGCTGCAGCTGCTTCTCTGTAGTTGCTGCAGTCAAAAAGGAGCCCAGAGTAACAATTTTCCTTGACGGTCGCCGTTCTGTTTGCTGTAACTGATCTGCAACATTTTTGGGAAAAACAGTTTCCTTGTGCCTGCTATCTCTCAGGGATACGTGGAGGCCTTCCTTCCAACTGAGATGTTTCATGGAGAGATGATAGGATAAGGCTTTGGAAAAGTAAATTCTTGGGCCCAAGAACTGGTGTGGAGGGGCGGGTGGCCCATCCTGTGGTGATCCAGTGGAAACGGCTTGGCATTCACAGCCCTGAAAATCAAAGGCACAGTATGAGGAGCGGAGGCCAGGCTGACTGACCTTTGCTATTCTGAGGCCTTGAGGAAGGGAAATAAGATTTTTTTCTGACAGTTTCGCTCATTGCAGCTGTGCCAGATGGAAGACCCTGTGGAGGTTACTGGTGAGGACTCGAGATTGTGACGGTGAGGAGATGCTCAGGACCTGGTAGGTTTCTTTGAGGGACTTTGGGAGCTGACTGGTAGGGTGGTACAGCATGTTTCCAAGGGCTGTGGCTGTTGTGGCCATGGGATCTCCAACTGCATGCGAGAACAACCTGGAGAGACTTTGACAGCTCAGGTTAACCCAGTACCTGCGGCTGCCACTCACCTTTCCTATAAGGCACAGCACCTGGGCTGGAGCTCTGCCCAGTCCAGGTGAGATCCATCCACGTCCATGTAGGTGGGTATGCTGATCAGCATTGGCCTAGATTGGAGATTGCATCCTGAATTTGTTCTGTATGTGTCCCCAGGTTTTCTGGTGGCATCTGATACTGAAGAGAACATCGTCTCTGGAGCTGTGCCTTAAGACTAAGGTAAAGCTAATGTGGGAGACAGCTTACCCTCCAGTTCCCTTTCCCATCGGATCTGAACACTGGTCTTGGTGGTCGTAAAGGAGGAAAAGTAATTCTGAAGCTGGCCTCACAGCTTTATAGTCTGGTATATAGCATGTGGCTAGTTTCAAACAGGGTTAAATTCTCTTAAGTATTTTCCTCATCCCCTGTAAAATGGGGATAATCTAAGGATTAAAAGAATAAATGAGTTGAATGCAGTGGTGGGTGCCTTTTTTGGGAGGCTAAGACAGTAGGAGCTCTAGTTGTGAAGCCCAACTGGGCAATCTCAGAACTTGTCTCAAAATAGAGGGCTGGGGAATATAGGTTAGTGAGAAAGCCCTGGGTTCCATCCCTAATACCGGAGGAAACAGGACGAATGTCAAGCTGCAGGCAGTTGGTGTATCATTTGCTAGTTATTATTTGGAGGTGCTTTCTTGTTCCTTGATAGTGCCTGTTTTTAAGAATCTGTATAACCAGGAAAGCTGTTGTGATACTGGTGTGTTTTTTGGACAGTCTCACTCCAGGCCAGGCCAGCTTCCAGTTTGCATCTGACAGGCACATGCCACCATGCCCAGCGTCATCTGTGACTGACTAGAATGGGTAAGTAAATAACTTCCTGAAGCTTAATTATGCACTATCTAGGGTTATTTAGGCCTATGTAAAAAAGGGTTAGCCTTTCAATATTTTTGCATTTGGCTTGTGTGTAGTGTTCGTTGTTCATGACATGGCTTAATGTGCTGGCTTTGGTGATCTTAAGGGTCATGAGCACAGAACTGTAGCACAGAAGACTGCCTTGCTGCTTGGGCAGCAAGGATTGAGCTGCAGATTCTGCAGTGGCTGGGAACTCAGGCTGTGTAGAGAGTGGGAGATGGAGTGGGGTTGGAGGGGCATAGAAACGAGTAGTTCAGGTGCTTAAGTTCACTGGTTCAGGATGAAACCTAATCTGAGTGGACATCTGTGGATGAGAAATGCGGATATGGGACTGAGACCAGTGCTTAGGAAAATGCCTGGGTGGCATTTTTGAATTTAAGGGCAGCACTAACACACAGGCAACACTTTCTTTTCAGGAGAGACCATGGGAAAGAAGACAAGCAAAAAAGAACAGCTTATAGGTGCCAGCAGTAAGTTCTGTAAACATTTTTTTACTATTGGTGTATCTACATAAAATAAAGACTTTGGATCTGTGTCTTGTCTGTCAAATTGTTAATTTCAGATTTTATATTCCCAGATTCAAATCAGTTCCACAACTATTGGTAATTTTTTTTCTTTTGCTGGACTCCCCATGTGTGGTATGGGCCCAAAGAAGTAATATTTATCTACTTCCCAAAGCACACCCCCAAACTGCTTCAGTGAAAACTAAGCAAATGCAAAAGTTTTTGTGTGTGTTTGGGTTTTTGTTTTTTGAGACAAGGCCTTGCTTATGTAGTTCAGACTGGTCTTGAATTCTGCAATCCTGCTGCCTCAAATTTTTTTTCCTGCGATCCTCTCCCAAGTATGTTACTTCATCAACTTTATTATTATTTTTTTTTGGAGACAATGTAGTTCATGCCATCCTTGAGCTCATCCTCCTGCAGATTCAGTCATGAGCCACAAACCTGTCTGGCGGGGCTAGTTAAGTAGACAGTTGAAAGATAAAAAAGATGCATTATTATGAACATGGAGGTCCTGTTTTGAGCCCAGGTCCTTACCATGTTACCACCACCACCTTTTTGGGCCTTTGCACTTGCAAGGCAGGCAGCAAAACCACTGAGCTAAATCCCCAGCCCTGTTAACCTTTCTAACTTACAGTTTCTGGTGAGATAGCACAGTAGTCAGGTAGGGACCTGTGGACATAGAATGGCTTTCACCAGGCTTGTAGATGCTGTAGTATATGGAACACCTAATCTGGAGCAAGCTCCCAATCTCAACCTTTTTTTGGTACTGGGGAATTGAACATGGGACCTGTGCTTACGAGTCAGGTGGGGGAACCACCGAGCTAACCCCCCCCCTTTGAGACAAGCTCTTGCCATGTAGGTAGCTAAGGCTGGCCTTGAACTGAACTCTCAGCCTCCCAAATATTGGGATTACAGGCATGCTCTACCACACTTAGAATCCTTTTTTGGGGGGAAGGTCTGTCACGTGGTTACAGGTGATCTTACCTTAGTTGTCAAGATGCCCAGTTCCAGGCTATAGTAGATTGCAGTTGCTTGGTTTATCCCCACACTGGCCTGTGCTCCTTATCTTAGCTGCGAGATCAGGAATCTGTTGAGGTGCCCTAACACGCACTGACTCTGATCCTAACCTAAGCTTTGGAAAACAGCCCACAATCCAATGGCTAATCCTTGTATTTTTCTCCTCAAGTGAATAACCAGGAATTTGCTGTTTAGACTTTGGTCCAACCATTGGTTTCCATTCAAATGATACCAAATGAAAGCGGCAGCATCGTGGAAATACAGTATCAGGAAGGTTATTAAAATCTTATAAACCATTTTTGAAAAGGTAAAAGTTTTCATATTTTAAGAAAAGTCTGATCTTCCCTCAGTCCATGCTGGCCTTTCCTTTGTCTTGGTTAGATTACAGCTGGGATCTCTGAAGACACTGAGTCCAGGGGCTGCCAGTGACAGTCCATCAACGCATCATACAGCTCCTCACTCTGCTCCATGAACTCCTTGTTGGCCTCTGTCACATCCAGCTGTGGCATAGGGTCTGGGAGAACAGCAAGACTGGGGTCAGGACAAGTCAAGGGGATAAGCATCAAACAGACACAAGGGACTTGGGTTCAGTATCCTACTTCAGGCCTCTTCTAGGATGACATCCTAGAGAACCAACAAAAGTGGTGCTGGGTAACTTCAACCCTCAGTAAAACTAAAGGGCTGGTAGCTCAGTGCCCTGGATTCAAGTAGCACAAATGAATGAATGCAATAGTGGCAAGTTTTTTTGTTGCTTCCATCTTTATAGTCGCCCTGAATTTTCTGGTCTGGTCTTCATTTGAAATTTGGGTTTAGGGCTGGGGATTTAGCTTAGTGGTTCTGCTACCTGCTTTGCAAGCACAAGGTCCTGAGTTTGATTCCTGGTACCAAAAAAAAAAAAAAAAAAAAAAAAAAAAAAAAAAAAAAAAAATGGGTTTAGGAGCTAGGTGTGGTGGCACACCTGTAGTCCCAGCTACTTGGTCTCCCATCCAAGTACTAACCAGGCTCAACCCTGCTTAGCTTCCAGGATGAGACTGGGCATGTTTAGGGTGGTATGGCTGTAGACAATCCAAGGTACTTGGGAAGTTGAAGCAAGAGGATTTCCTGTGAATGAGGAACTGGGGAAGACCCTATACAAAAAATTGGGGAATGGTTTAAGGATGCAGCTCAGTGGTACTGTGCCCCTGGGATTGATCACAATTAGAATGAATCACCAGTACAGGCTATAGGGGATGACCCTTGAAAACACTGCCTGAAGGGCCTGGTGGTGCATGCTTATAATCCCAGCTCTCAGGAGGCTGAGGCAGGAGGATCACCACACAGGTAGTACATTGTTTGAGACCAGCCTGAAATACAGTGAGATCCTATCCTGTCTTGAAAAACCACAAAAGAACACTGTTCAATGAAAGCTGTTCAATTAAAAAAGATCACAGGTTGGATATGGTGGCCTGGACAATTTAAAAGTGAGACCCTGTGAAGGCCTAAATTTATCTGCAGTACTGCAGAAAACATTTAATAATTCTTAAAATGTCAAATAGGAGGGCTGTGGATTTAGCACAGTGGTTCTGCTGCCTGACTTGCCAAGTGCAAGGTGCTGAGTTTGATCCCAGGGACATATTGCAGTGGTACAGCGCTTGCCTAGCATGCACAAGACCCTGTATTCAACCTCTAGTACTGCAAAAGAAAAAAACTATTACAAATTATTTCATTTATTTAAAATGGCTAAAATAATGTCCAAAGCAGCAGAATATGAATGACAAGTGACCAGGGGCTAGAGGACAGGATACAGTGTGACTGGTAATGGTTGTTCTTTCTTTTAGGGTTGGTACTCTTAAAAAAGAATATGATTTTCTCAGACATGGCTATGATTATTGGGTGTGGTGCTACCAGCTTGTACTTTCCAGCTATTTGGAAGGCTGAGGCTAGAAGATCATAAACTTGTCTTAGTAAAACACCACTCAAAATTCTAAAAAAGGGCTGAGGATGTAGTTCAGTGGTATAGAACTGGGCTTGATTCCCCAGTGTCATAAAACAAAACAAATGGCTACCACCAGTGGACCTGACAGTGAATGCTTATAGTCCCAGCTAATTAGAAACCTGAGCCAGGAGGATCTCAAATTGAGGGCCAGCCTAAGCAATCTAAAGAGACCTTGTCTCCAAAAAAAAAAGTCATTATTTAACAAACCTGTGGGCCGGGGATTTAGCTCAGCGATTCGGTGGCCTGCTTTGCAAGTGCAAGGACCTGAGTTCGATCCCCGGTACCAAAAAAACCACAACAACAATAACAAAAAAACCTGTTATTGTTGAATATTTGTTTACTGATAACTATCATTTAAGATCAAAATCTTGAGGGCCGGGGATTTAGCTCAGTGGTTCTGGTGACTGCCTGGCAAGCATAAGGACTTGAGTTTGATCCCCAGTACAAAAAAAAAAAAAAAAAAAAGATCAAAATCTCGAGTAAAATTGCTGATTCAAATGAGATAAGAACTAAACCAGGCCAGGGATTTAGCAGTGGATCTGCTGCCTGCCTCACAAACGCAAGGACCCAAGTTCGATACTGATACAAAAAAACCCAAACAAACAACTAATCCAGGCATGGGGGAGTCTAAGGCAGGAGCATGCCGAATTGGGAGGCCAGCTGGAGCCACATATTAAGATGCTGTCTCAAATACCACCAACTAAAAATCTCAGAGCATGAACCCACTTTTTACAGAAACGGTGTATTTTAGGGCCAGGGATTTAGCTCAGTGGTACCGCTGCCTGCTTTGTAAGCGCAAGGACCCAAGTTTGATCCCAGGTACGAAAGAAGAAAAAAAAAAAAAAAGAAAAGAAACAGTATAGTTTAGTTCGTTTTTGGCTGTTAATATCAATCATATTGATGCTGTCTGGTCAAATACCTTTCTGTTGCTGCTGTGAAGGTTTTCTGTAGATATGATTAACATTTCCAATTAGTTAACTAAGAAAATTGTCCTCAATAAAGCAGATAGAGCCCCATTTAATAACTGAAAGCCTTAAGAGGAAAAATAAATTCTCAGACAGAATTCTGCAAAACTTACTATGTTTTTTTTTTTCTTTTCTTCTCTTTTTTTTGAGACAGGGTCTCACTATGTAGTTGAGACTGACCTGGAACTCACTATGTATCCCAGGCTGGTCTCGAACTCAGCGATCCTCCTGCCTCAGCCTCCCCAGTGCTGGGATTACAGGCATGCGCTGCCACACCTGGCTGCAAAACTTACTAAAAAAATCCAACTTGAGTTTTTCATTCTGCCAGCCTCAGCCTACACACACCAGCCTGGTGACAACATCAACTGCTGTGCGGGTTTTTTGAGCCTGCCTGCCACAGACTTAAGACCTGGCAATTTCCACAATGACCTTAGTCAATTCCTTTGATACATTTTTTAAATAGCTGCATACATCCTATCAGTTCTGTTTCTTTGTAGAACCCTGTTAGAATAGTATGTTTACATTTTTTTGTTTTCATCATGCTAGGGATTGAAGCCAGGGCACTGTGAATGCTATACAAAGCACTCTACCACTTACATACATCCGGGTCACAAACAGTATGTGTGGTAAAATATGCTGGATGTTAAAACTGCCAAAGAGATTGAGAAAGTCTAAGGAGGGGCCGGGGATTTAGCTCAGTGGTTTGGTGGCCAGCCTTGCAAGCGCAAGGACCCGAGTTCAGTCCCTGGGATCCCCCGACCAAAAGAAAGTCTAAGGAGTTATACAGACACCTATAAGTAGGTTAATTATCTCCAAAAGGGAGGCAGTGTCTCCTGGAGAATGCTAGAAACTACACTAGACTTTGTCCCAAATCACTGTGTGACCCTTAGTGGAACAGGCCTTTCTGGGTTGCTAGCCTGTGTCCAGTGACCACCCCACCAGATCTGCTGTTAACAGTCAGCTGGGGATACACATATGAAAGTGTTTAAATTATTATATATTAGGCTGGGCGTGGTGGTGCATGCCTGTAATCCTAGCACTCAGGAGGTTGAGGCAGGAGGATTGCTTTGAGTTCGAGACCAGCCTGGACTACGTAGTGAGTTCCAGGTCAGTCTCAACTACATAGTGAGACCCTGTCTCAAAAAACAAAACGGGCCGGGGATTTAGCTCAGCGGTTCGGTGGCCTGCCTTGCAAGCTCAAGGACCCGAGTTCAATCCCCAGTACCAAAAAAACAAACAAACAATCAAAAAACAAAACAAACAAACAAACAAAAAAAATATGAATTTAGGACCTTGTGCTTGTGAGGCACACAGCGGGACCACTGAGCTAAATCCCCAGCCCTTGGAAAATTTTTAAAAAATATTATTTTTAACAATACTCAGGGAGGCTGTGGCAGGATGATTTCCCCACAAGGGCAACTTAGAACCTGTTTTAACAACAACAACAAAATTAATTTTGAAACAGGATCTATGTAGTTCAGGCTGGCCTTGAACCCATACCACTCCTGCCTCAGCCTCCTGAGTGCTGAGAATATAGGCATGTGCCATTCACACCTGGAAAAAGAATTTTTCAGGGGCCAAGGATTTAGCTCAGTGGTGCCACTGCCTGCCTCATAAACCCAAGGACCTGAGTTTGATCCCTGTACAAAAAAAAAAAAAAAAAAAAAAAAAAAAAAAAAAATTTTAAAAAAAAAAAAAAAAAAAAAAAAAAAAAAAAAAAAAAAAATTCTTACAGATACAAGTAAAATACATGGTAGAATACCACATATCTAAGGAGTAATGGGTTCCTTGGGAACTGCATTCATACTCTGGTCACATCTTGGTCTATGTCTGCATTTAGCTATCACAAGAAGAACGTGAATTCCTCCAGAGCACAGTTTACCTTGCATTCCTTATTATGTAGCTGTAGGGACAGTGCAAAACAATCATTTAATAAGAACTGATAGAGGAATAAAAGTGGATTCTTTCTTACCTTCCAATGCATCGTCTCCAACTTCTTCATATGTCTGTCAAGAGACCAAAGGGGCAAGTGAACAGTCTGGTGGAAAGCCTTACCGTATCGCTGTGGTTGGTTGATTCAGTTTTGGTACCGGGGACCACACTCAGGACCTTGCGCTTGTGAGGTAGGAGGCGGAACCACTGACTAAATCCCGGGCCCAACTGTGGTTTATTTTCAACAAGATTGTAACTTTAGCTTTTCCCACCTTTTCTGAAGCCCAGCTCCTTGTTACCAGTCCCATCCCAAAGAATGGCTTGTCCCAAAGAGGAAAAGTAACCGAGGAGTGCCAGACTTGCCAAGACACAGGTACCTGCATGGTGCTCTGGGTGTAGCCATACTGGGGGTAACTGTAGCTGTAGCTGCCTGTGTTCTGATCATAGCCCCACTGGGCATAGTAGTTCTGGTACTGTTGATAATACTGGTTGTAGCTGTAACTGTACATCTGACTGTATTCCACTGGCTTTACCCGGCTCCTTATATTAAGAAACAAACAAGTAAATGTAAGCAGACATTTCCATAACATTTCCTATATGGCAAGGGGCTGTTTTAACTGCTTTACATAAATAGTTACTTTTAATCCTCACAATAACCCTACACAATTAGTATACCATTGTTCCTACTTTATAGATGAGGAAACTGAATATAGAAAGGTTAAATTATTGCTTCATAATCACACAGCTAGTAAGAGATTCAAACCCAGGCAGTCGTTCTCTAGAACCTATTTATACTTTTAGCTGGGAATGGCAGCACATGCCTGTAATCCCAGGACTCTGCAGGTTGAGGCAGGAGGATCACACAACTAAGTTTGTTTCTCAATCTTATCAGGTCTGATTTTTTTTTTTTCCCAAGATCTTGGGAGACATTTCTGCTAGCTGCAAGAATTCAGGTAATATGACCTAGAGAATCTTAATTTAGGATCATCTAAGAAGCACTTCAAATCAGCCTATTTAATCACCTCCCCAAAGAACCACCATTAAAGTAGCCTTATTGTTATTGATGATTTGAGGGGGGTACTGGAGATCAAAGCCAAGGCCTTATAATGCTAAGCACGAATTCTATCACTGAACTACACCCCCAAACATGGATCCCACTTATTTGAGTAGTTATCTGGGGTTTGTGCCAATCCTTTTTTACCTCTGGTCAACTATTTGAAGTACTGCACAGCCCTACAATATTGCTGGGGTTTTTTGTTTTTTTGGTACCTGGGATGAACTTTGGTCCTTGTGCTTGCGAGGCAAGTGGCAAAATTACTAAGCTAAATCCCAGGCCCCAATATTGCTGCATTTTATTTTATTATTCCCACTGTACAGATGAGACTACTGGGTCTTAAAGTAGTATGTCTAAAGCCATGCCTAGGACTGCAAGAGACATTTTCTTTTTTGGTACTGGGGATGAAACCCGAAACCTTTGCACTGAGCTATATCCCCAGCCCTTATTTTTTATTTCAAGACAGGATCTCGCTAAGTTGCAAAGTTACCCACGATGGCCTTAAATTTGTAATCCTCCTGCCTCGGCCTCCCAGATGCTGGGATTACACATGTGTACCATGCCAGATTTAACTGTTCCTAACTGTTCCTAAAGCTACACAGTGTTCCTACTACACTGTGTTTTTTTTTTTTTTTGTACCAGGAATTGAACTCCAGACTTTATGCTTGTGAGGCAGGTGGTGGAACCACTGAGCTAAATACCCGGCTACTCCACTATTACATACAGTGCCTACTGTGACAAATTCAAAACATCTTTCCATTCTTTACCAAATCCTGCTTACCAATCAGGGCAGAGGCCCAAAGTTGGCATGAAGCTTCCTTCTGAATGCAGTGGCATAGGCACTGCTAATAAAAGACAAAGGATCCATTATCTTCTACAACATAACAACTACATGTGATGTCACAGGAAACAAGCATGGAGTCTGACCACCAGTTCTAGCTGATAAGAACCAAAGACTTAGCATGTGGCAGTCTATCTCCAGTCACCATGCTCTGAAAAGCTTGAGTGTCTGTAAGTGCTACCAAACGTGGAGATAGGCTGACTCACCATGTCCCACTGGCTGGTTTTTATAAGGAGAATCAAAACAGTCACACTTGTGAAACACACAAGTAGAATGAACTTGTTTCCTCATGATCATAAGATACATTGAATCTCTACAGTCAAGACAGACAGGAAACCAAGCCCACAAGCAGCAGCTGAGTACCATACAAATAAATCCCTGTTACAGGAAATGCATATGTTCCCAGCCTGAATGAGCTCTCCCTAAATTCCTTGAGTCCAGCGTTTACTCAATGAGTAGAACTCTAGAGTTGCTAGGTAGACTCGAGGTTTGGCTGCGTTCACCTTCAGACAGGGATGGCTCAGTGAAGTCCTCTGGCAGAGACAACTCCTCCCTGCCTACTACTGCTGGGTCCCAATATTCCCCTTTGGCTCCCTTTCATGACTCCAAGAATATCCACTACCTCCTTAGACACTGGGGTAACTGAAGGCAGTCTCCCTTCCTTGGGGCTGGTTTTGTCCTCTTTGGGAAACTGCATATTTCTGCTGTTTCTCCACATTCAGCTGCTACAGTAAAAGTCTCCAAGGTAACTTAGATCACCTCCATCCCCAGAGGTTGAGGACACCAACTCAGGGAGGCACCAATCACTGACAACCATGTTCAATGAAAAACAGATTCAACAGATGATAAACAGTCTGAATAGCCCTACCTTCAAATTCTAGGACAGGGTCTGCAGAGTTCCGGGGACTCAATAGTTATTGACTAAAAAACTGGTAACACTCCAGCAATAGCCAAAACAGTCAACATCAAAGGAATTGCTAGACAGAGACCATACACAAAGACTTATACAGCTGCTATATATAAAATAAAAAATACAGGTACATATTTTTATATTTTGCAGGATGCTGTGGCATGTGCCTGTAATTCATTACTTGGGGGGCTGACGTAGAAGGATCACAAGTTCGAGCGCAGGCTGGACAACTAAGCAAGTGTTTTTTTTTTTTAAATAAAAAGAGCTAAGGATGTAGCTTAATGGTAGCCTGGCAAGCATGAGTCAATCACCAAAAAAAAAAAAAAAATTTTTTTTAATTTTTTTTTTTTTTTTTTTGGTACCAGGGATCAAACTTGGGACATTGTGCTTACGAGACAGGTGGTGGAACCACTGAGCTAAATCATTGGCCTTTTTAACATTTCATATAGTAGAGCTTACATAACAAATACATTATTTGGGGGGAGAATACTCAGGCTGATCTTCAATGTGTTAAAAGGCAGTTAAGCCTGGCAGGGTGGTAGACACCTATAATCCCAGCACACAGGAAGCTGGGATGGGATTCCAAGTCCAGCCTGGGCTATGTGGTGAGTTCAAGGCCAGCCTGGACTACATAACAAGACCCCATCTCAAGCGTTAACTCTCAAGAGTCCAGCTACTCTTGTACTTTTGGTGCAGAATTTCTCAGCCTTGGAACTCTTTACCTGGGGTGG